GCATTAAAATATATACAGAATATAAATATATAATAACATAATTTTTATTCTTATTAACATACATAATAGTTTTGATTATTACATATAATTATCTTAATCATTATATTACACTAGCTCCTGGAACATTTCTGATAGCCTCTGAGGCACCCGGACAAATCTAGTGATAATAATAACTACACAAATAAAAAAATAATAGAAAATGAACTTCGATTCTTTCTCTATGTTAGATATTGTGCTATCTACTCCTTGTGCATTATTTTATTTAGTCATAACAAAAATTCTATCTTTCTGATGAGGAAATCCAAACATAAAGGTTAAGTTACTGACCTAGATAATCAAGCTAGCAAGCAGCTGAATCAAGAATTGGACACAGGTTTGTCTAACTTGAAAGCCTTTGCATATTAGGAGGTAACAAGAAAGGTGGAAAATATTTCCGACAGTTGAAATTCTCTTTTTTTGTAGGTCCCAGGCCTGTGGTGTTACTGCAGCATGGCTTGTTTGGAGATGCTAGCAACTGGATTTCCAACGTGCCCAACAACAGCCTGGGCTTCATTCTGGCAGATGCTGGTTTCGATGTGTGGCTGGGGAACAGCAGGGGAAGCCACTGGTCTCGGAAACACAAGACCCTCTCTGTAGACCAAGATGAGTTCTGGGCTTTCAGGTATATGAAAATCTTAAGAGTGGAGGTGGACATAGGTGTCTTTGGAAGAACTGGGTAAAAATTATGGCTTCTATTATTTGGGTAATTTACTTTGGTTGGCTCATCAATATCTTAATATGATATCCCCCAATTATCTTAATTGATTAGTGATTCTTTCAGGGAAGTGGTGGGGAAAAGCAGGTTTGAGTTCCTCAAGTAAAATTTTGCATCCGGTGAATGGGTTCAGAATGGTGGTTGATGTCAGGTAATCGAGGCTAGAATAAGAGAAGTATACAGCTATTTCCTTATAGATGGAAATCTTGGGACTATCTCTTCTGCAATTTTTGACAAAGACTAGTAACCCCAGGAGGAGGTGAGAACAGGTGATATTAAAGCTACTAGGAAACTATTAAGCCTTAGGGATTATCAGTTTGACTAACACATTTCTCACACTCTTAGAAAATATTTTTAATACTTTTATTTAAATTACCTCTTGACATTGAATCTGCTCTTTATCCATTTCATCAGAGAAGGGCCCCTACTGTAGCATCTTTAATACTTTTCATATAAATGAATCTGCATGACCATGTGCTACTCTGCTAACAGAATCATAGTACACCTCTACTAGAAGGTAGGTCATGTGCTTAGTAAATATTCATTGAAGATGATTATCTCTCTGTGATGACATCTGGAGAAAACAGAAGTTTGCTAACAACCTGTGACCCCAGAGACACCCATGCATCACAGGTTTGAAACAAGTCTATCTTGAGTGCTTTGAGGGGCACAGTAATGAGCTGTTGGGGCTGACAGCTCCAGGGCTTGTTCAAAAACCCCAGGGGATGTTTTTGTTTGTTTCTGATTGTCATTTTTCATATAATTTTGTCTCTTCCTCTTGTAGTTTTGATGAGATGGCTAGGTTTGACCTTCCTGCAGTCATAAACTTTATTTTGCAGAAAACGGGCCAGGAAAAGATCTATTATATCGGCTATTCACAAGGCACCACCATGGGTAGGTTTAAATAAAAGCAGGTTTGTATACTCAGAAGAAATGTGAGCATATGGTGTATGGGTCTACCTGGGATCAGTCATCTCACACTTCACTCATCTGGCCTCATCCTCTTCAGTGACGTTAAAGACTCGAGGAAATGGAAACGTAATTGAAGGAGGCCTCTGGTATGGTAGGTAGAGCAAAGGCTTTGGTGTGAGATGGATGTAGATTTAAACACTAGCTCCACCACCTCTTAGGTCAATGTCATTGAGCAAATTATTGAATCCATCCGTCTCAGTTTCCTTATCTCTAAAATGGAGATAATAGCTCCCCCTTATGGGAGTTAGAAGTAATGAACTATTGAATATGATGATACATATAAGCTCTGTGAAGACAGGGATTTTCTCAAAAACACAAAGGTGAGAGAAGTTCCTGGCACATAGTATCACTCAACAAATGCACTGAACAAAAGAAACCATGAATTCAGTATCTGGCACATAATAGGTAATCAATAAACAGTAAGTATTGTTATCATACTATAAACAGAACTAATGGGGGAGTTTACTCAAGTCTCTTTCTTTCTTTCTTTCTTTCTTTCTTTCTTTCTTTCTTTCTTTCTTTCTTTCTCTTTTTCTTTTTCTTTCTTTCTTTCTTTCTTTCTTTCTTTCTTTCTTTCTTTCTTTCTTCTTCTAATGCCAATGTCTGCAATTATGTGCTGGTGTCTTTTGGCTTTTGATGAATTTGTGAAAACAGTAACTCATGGCCCCTACAACATACAGATCAACTACTTGGGAAGATGGTAGTGGAAACTGGCTATTCTGGTCCTATATTGGACCAAAGTCAACAGGAAAATGTGCTTGGCTTAGATTAGGATGAAAGATCAGGAGAGGCATGGTGTGTGCCATGAAGAGAAGGCGCTCTAGGAAAAGCCGAGAAGAGTTCTTTACCATCACTCTGAGCCAAACCCAAAGTTGAAGGCCAGGGTAAGGGATTCTAAGGAGACAGGTGAGCATTCACTTATTCAAACTCAGGATACAAGCTCATTTGGTTCATTTTTAATTGATGCACTCTAGTAAATGAAAAGAGTATGACTTTCACATTTTCCTTTCTGGATTTTTCAGTAACATTAACTTATTTTAGTGATGTGATATCTCACCCTTCACTTCACAGAAAGTTAAAGTGTTATGCCCACTCCTCCTGTAATATCCACAGGCAGATCTTTAAAAAATTGTTCAATTTGACATGAAGGCAAAGGTGCTAATGATGAGGTTAAATGCTATTTTGAGGAGGAGGGGAGAAAAAAACATAGGATTATTCTATTAGTCAACCATGGAGCTGTTTATGTGGAGAACTTGAACTTGCTTTGCATAAAGTGTTGCTGGGAGAAGTTATGTAGAGTTCTCAGATCTTGACATTTGAGAGAGGTTTTATATAGTCAGAATCAAGCTGGAATATAGCAATGTATTTTCATGTATTTTCAACCCAGTTCTATTGATGGTATAGTTGAAAGAGCAAGAGCTAATACTAAGTCACTCTTGTGCCTACCTTTGCACGTGGCTGACAAATCGCATGAATAGAAAAGAAGGGAAAGAATTCACTCACCTTCTTGGAACTAGACAGAAGTCATGTGATTCCAGTTTTTTTTCTTAACCCAGCTTCCTTTCTCCCAACCTGCAACTATCAGCCTAGACAGAGAGTAGAGGGCTCTTTTGAAATAAACACACGGTATTTCAAATATAATGACCATGACTTGGCTTGATACAGTAGCCTTTTTCTCCCAAAGGATCCACAGGGACTGTCCCTGTACAGTGCTAATTCAGGGAATTTGACTCTATTTTATAGGTATAGAAACTGAGGCACAGACTGACTTAACCAGCATCCCACATCTAACCTATGGCAAAAATAAGAGTTAGAATCCAGTTCACTAGACAACTTGTCTACTAGAATATGCTATAATTTAGGTTTCAGAAAAAATAGAAATCAAGGAAAACCAACAAAACTCTGCTATCTCAATACCCATTATGTTATAGAACATGCTTGTTAGCAATAAACAAGGCTATTTCTCTAATTCTCATTTTCTTTTACTGTAGAGATTTATTAAAAATATCTCATGAGTTTGAGAATTAAATAAGAACCATGAAAGTCACAAGCAAATTGTCTAGCATGTAGTTACCTCTCAATATGTATATATTCTCAAAGTCCATATTATTGTACTCAATAATTTAATTCAATAATTCCATGAGATATCTACTGGATATCAAATAAACTAGACTAGGCAAACTGTGAAGCACCGTCAGAGAGAACACAAAGAAGTTTTCACTGCTGTTGTTTTTCTTCCTCAAGGAGTCTATAATTTCATGGGTATTAAGACACAGTCACACGTAACTACTGAAGTATCTTGACAAAAGTAAAATAAGCATTTTATGAGTTCTGGGTAGAGTATCCACTCTAACATATTTCTTCTCTTGTAGGCTTTGTTGCATTTTCCACCATGCCAGAGCTGGCTCAGAAAATAAAACTGTATTTCGCCTTAGCACCCATAGCTACTATTAAATACTCAAAAGGCCCTGCGATCAAATTTTTGTTGCTACCTGATATGATGCTTAAGGTATGTGACTCCTCAGAAAATTCCTTGTCTGCGTACAAGAGTCTTCCAACCCAATATGCTAAGACTCACACTTTTCAATTAGAGCCACTTCTTTTTACTATAATGTAATGACTACTATTTCATTTCATATTTTCATAGGGATTGTTTGGCAGGAAAGAATTTCTATACCAGACCAGATTTCTTCGCCAGTTTTATATTTACCTTTGTGGCCAGATGATTATTGATCAGATTTGTAGTAGTATCATTTTACTTTCAGGAGGATTTAACATGAACAATCTGAACATGGTAAGTGGGAACCTAGTAAATTCTCAGTTTCCCAAAGCAAAGTTAGGAGTTGTTAGCCTTACTGTTTGAGTGTGAGCTATTGCCAATGAAGACTTATAGAAACGTAATCCCAGTAATTTAGTTTTCTCCAAATCATACTAATATGTGGGAAATGCTTTAACATGGGATGAGGCCAGGTTAATGTAAGAGCATTGCTAGATATTAACTTCATAAGTTATAGATAGAAGAGATTTGAAAATAGCTTTATACAGTGTATCAGCAACATATGAAAAAAAGTGATTAGAATCCAGTAGTCAAAAGAGAGAAATGCATGCATCATCCACCTCTTCTTTCTACTTAGGACTTTCTGGTTTGTACTTTAAGTCCTTTGATAGGATATCTGGGAGTTTCAATTTCATTTAGGCATAGCTACCAGTTGATAGGTATCACAGCGTGAGTTCCCAGGAAGCATACTCTGTGATGGAAATTAGTACGCAGAGTGACTTTGGGTCATGCTCTTGCGATAACACCTAGAGAAGGGAAAGAAACAGAATTGGGTAGATGAAAAGGCAAACTGTGAAGCACTGTCAGTGGGAGACTCAATTAATTCTACAGGGATCTGTGAAGATGGGATGACCCTTCAGAGTTGTTCCAAGTTAGAGTGAAAGGGCTGGATCTTTGTACCTCCACATCAAACAGTCATTTAATGCAGATGATGCCAGTAAGAGGTGATAGATTGGGCAAGGCAGCTCTCCTGGGGCAATCCCCCAAAGAGGCCCAATAGTAGAGAGCTATCTGCCAGCAGCATTCCTGGAAGTTAGAAGAATACATCTTTAATTCCTGATGATTTTTCTTCTTTTTTTTTTTTAAAAAAATAATATAATTAATAGCTACCATTTGATAAGCATTTATTATGTGCCAAGCAAAGTTATTCTCTGTAACAATCCTATGAGACAAATATTGTCTATATCCCCACTATACAGATTAGTATCCTGAGATTTAGTAGATTAAATAACTCTCCCAAATCCACCTAAAACTTAAAGGGCAGAGCTAGGATTTGAATACAGGCCAATTCTAAAGCCTTCATCTTTAATTACTCTAGTAAATTTTTTTAAGAAATCAGATCTCTAATAAAAAGCTATTCTCAGATTTAAAAAAAAAATACAGGTGTCCAGGCACACATTTAGTGGTATTTTTAAATTTATGTGCATGTGTATATTACTGTTTCATCATGAAAAATTGCTCATAATTCAATTTAGTCTGACACCCCGGGGATTTGGTCTTGATGAGGTACATATCTTATAAGTTTTTCCATGTCCCACAAACCACTCATGCTTTGTTACAGAGCCGAGCCAATGTATATGTCGCTCATAGTCTTTCTGGAACATCTGTGCAAAATATCTTACACTGGAGCCAGGTAAGAATGTTGAATTTTTTGTTTTCCTCAAGTAAGGGTCTTTGCACATGTTGTCTGGAATAGTCAAAGGATGCCCTTTTGACAGTCCATGGGTTACTTCACATTTATTTCAAGATAAATATGATCCAGAACATTGAAACTTTTCAGGAGATGGGCAGAAATTGTTGGCCCATGGACATCTTTAGTGGACCTTAAAAGTGTGAATTCAGATGGTCCCAGCGAGACCTTTCTGTCTCTAGCCACCTCAAAATGAGGTTGCAGAAGATCATTTTTTGGCTCCTCCAAGAGCATGGTCAAGTAATAACAAACATGCTAAGGCAGAACCTAATTACCCAAAGGTTTCACAGGGGTCCTTCTTGCTGCAGACTACACCTGCAATGCAGGAGGGAAAGTCCTGATTACCAGTCACATGAACTAAGGGCAGGTCTAGGTAAGACATTCAGAACTGATTCAAGGACAATATGAATGCTAATTATTCTTTTACATATGAAGAAGCACTGAACCTAATAATATTGCTCATTATAGATGATAACACAGTGTGACAATGATTGGCTGTGGAGATAAGGATGGATTTAGGGCCAGAGCTAGAGCATAACTAACCTTAGATTCTATTAAAAATACCATTTTGTTTTAAAAAAATAAATAGGGCTCTTACCTCAAAGCGTTTTAAAAATAGTAATGACATCTATAAATCATAAATCCTATCTGTTTTTCTAACCATTTAAAGTCTAGTAAAATTGTTTTTCCAAGGTCAGTGTTATATGTTTGTGTGTGTGTGTGTGTGTGTGTGTGTGTGTGTGTGTGTGTACACCAAGAAAGAAAGTATGTGTGTGTGTGCGAGAGAGAGAGAGAGAGACAGACAGACAGACAGAGAGAGAGAGAGAGAGAGAGAGAGAGAGAGAGAGAGAGAGAGAACCAAAGAATCGGAATTGGACTGAATGTTGGTCCACACTGTACGACTCCAGGGGGAACTTCCTTATTGTAACATACAGTTCTGCAGAATCCCCATCTACAAAGACTACTATGGGGAGGCACTTCCTGGAGTTGCATAATGATGGTGAAGTATTTCTGTAGTACATGCGTTTTTCTCCCTGCAAGGGCCTTGTTCTTGCCTTTATGCTTTCCTGAAGATTATCCTAATGCTAAATGGAGGAGCAGCCTCAGCTTTTGCTCTCTTCTTCCCTCACAATTGCAGACGTGATGGCACATTTGCACCTTCCCTCTCACCCTTATCCAATGATACATTTGAATACCAAGTCAATTTTTGTTTCCTTTTAGGCAATGAATTCTGGGGAACTCCGGGCATTTGACTGGGGGAGCGAGACCAAAAATCTGGAGAAAGGCAATCATGTAAGAAAATCAATATCTACGTTGAAAATGCATCCTTTAGAAGTGCATAAGAGGGAAGTTATAACAGCAGTTTATTGCAGAGGTGGGAATAAAATATGAGAATGCAAGTAGAAAATACTAGTTTGGTTTTGACTCCATTTGAAAATGGGGAAGTTCACAGCTTAGCCAAGAGGCCTCTTGCTTTTATGATGGCATAGGAGAACTTTCTTGGTGAGGCTGCTTTCATGAAGAAGGCACTGGGCTTATTTGGAGGAATATGGGGTAGATTTAATGAAGGGAATAGTGTAGTCTGTGGTAGTTACTACTAGAAGGATCCTTTTAGTATCAAAAACAACAACAACAACAACAAAATCCCAAAAACACCAATGAGGATGGCAGGGGTGAAGTTGTTTCATGGTACAGTAAAAAGAGTATTAACTAGAAAGTGAAGATTATGCTTGTACACTATAAATTTACGTGATCACGGATAGGCTGCTTTGATTCTTCAGGCCTTCATTTCTTTATTTTTAAAAAATCTTGGTCTACATAATTCTTAGCAGTTTTCCCTGGTCACACTTATAATGAATCTGTAACTTACAATTGAAAAACATGAAAAAAAAAATGTTTTCACTTCACCTAAGAAAATATGTGGTCAATGCTATAGAATAAAATTAAAAATAGATGTTGTGGAGAATCAGAAGTGGATATTATACTGTTCTGAGCATAAAAACCGAAGATTATCAGCTTGTGCGCGAATACAAACAAACATCAACCATACAAATTTAAAGCTGAATAGACAGGCAAATCTTTGAGAATTTTATATTATACTTAACTTCCATTTCTGTACATCATCTAGATAGAAAAGACTGGGAAATTGGACAGACCGTGTAGTGCCCTGAATAGCAAGCTCTCCATCACAGTTATCAGCTACTTTTTTTTTTTTAGATGTATTTTCAGTTTCTTAAAATATGTTTTTAGAAAGCATTCCAATTCCAAAGTAGTTTTAATCTATCACCATTTAATGTCTTGAGTGCTAGAGAAAGTGGTTGTGGAAAGGAAGAGAAAACACACATAAAAAAGGTGTCATAGAATCACAGGACCTGAGCGCTAGACCTGAATTCAGTTCAGTCTTCTCACCTGTAAAGTGAGAAGAAAATATTACTGGCTCCACAGAATAGTCCAACTTTTCATCTCTAAGTTAAGTTATAAAAGGGGGTTCAAATCACCAAATTCTGATGTGTGTGTATCAGGAGGTAAGAGTTTTCCCACATCAACAAGCAAATCTCTGAACACCAGCTGGGTGCCCTACGATTTAACTCAGTTATGACACTATCTACCCAGAGATAACATTAGATCTCACAGATTAAAATCTCAGTCTCATAAGACTGCTCGCCCCTCACCCTCACTTCAGATGCCAATCTCCAAGTCCAGGTTGTTACCTGTACTTCTGACCAACTGGCTATAAATCACAGGTTCCTATGACCTCCTCCTCTAGTTCCATTAGTTGGCTAAATTGGCTCACAGAACTAAGAGAAATATTTTACTTAGTAGATTACCAGTTTATGATAAAAGGCCAGATGGATGATATGCATAGGGCAAGGTATATGGCAAGGGGCGCAGAGCTTTCATGCCCTTCCCAGGTGCACAGTTCTCCCCACATTTCCACTTATTCACCAACCTGGCAGCTCTCTCTGAACGTTGTCCTTTTTAGGTTTTTATGGAGACATCTTTCCATAGACATGACTGCTTAAAACATTAGCCATTGGGGTTTGAACCCAATCTCCAGTACTCTGCCCTCCACGGAGGTTTGGGGGGTGGAAAGGAAAGTTCCAACCCTCTGATCGCATGCTTGACTCCAGCAGCAACTAGCCTTGTCCAGTGCCAAGTTGCCTTATTAACATAAAAAAAGACACCTGTAAGGTTCTCATCACTTAGGAAATTCCAAGGGTTTTTCTGTGCCAGAAATGAAGACCAAACATATATATTTCTTATTATAAATTACAATATCACAGTCTAGAACTCCAAACTCTTAGAAAGTCACAAAGTAGAACAAGGACTGCCTGGATTGGAACCTTGGCTCCAAGGTGGATTTTCTGAGTAAGAATTGGGCTTTAACATTTCTGTTGAAAGTTCTGGGTGCTAATTAATCTCAAGGGCTCAGCCAGGCAGTGTGATCTAGTAGCATCACTCGAATAGACTAGCTCTCAAGAATTAAGAATCCTAGACGCCCATCTTTGGGTGATGGGGGACTAGAGCAAGATCTAGTTAATTTTTACATCTCCTTGGTTCAAACTACCTGAGTTCTAGAGCCATTGACTTCCCCATGTTTTCGGAGACACAGTCAAGCTGTGCCTGCTTCGTGGGCTTTCTGTAATCATAGATAGTCCCCGTGAAGACACGGAGGCCTTCTCAGCAGGCTCCACTCTCTTGCATTTCTCCGTAGAATATCTCTAACTCTGGTCTCATGAACCATTTGTGAAATGATCTTTTAAAGGTAATTTGTGTGTAAAATATTTATTAATAGGAAGAAAAATAATTGTAGATTAATGCTTGAAGTGCTAGGCAATTCATATGTTTTCTTGTTTAACCTAATAAGCGATTACAGATATCATCCCCATTTCACAAATGAAGAGACAGAAGTTCAGTGAGGATAAGTAGTTTTGCCTTCAAGCAGGGGCTTAGACCAAACTTAATGCAGACCTGTTTGGTTCCAATGCCCATGCACTTTTTGTCACCACACAAAGAATTATTTAGTAAGTTTATTTGAAACATAAAATATGAGCTTTGAAGTCCAAGTGCTATCTATAGTTTAAAACTATCTTTTTTTTTTTTTTTTCCTAGCCAACTCCTGTAAGGTACAGAGTTAGAGACATGACAGTCCCGACAGCAATGTGGACTGGAGGTCAGGACTGGCTTTCAAATCCAGAGGACGTGAAAACGCTGCTCTATGAAATGGACAATCTCATCTACCATAAGAACATTCCCGAATGGGCACACGTTGATTTCATCTGGGGTTTGGATGCTCCTCGCCGTGTGTACAATGAGATCATACATCTGATGAAGCAGGAGGAGACCGGCCTCTCCCAGGAAACATGCTGGGTCAGACTGTGAAGCATATGATACAGACAAGTTTTAGGAAAACTCTCATGGAAGATGGGGCTGGAGTTCATGTACCAAGGGTTTTGAAGGTTTCCAGAATTGGAAAACTAGCATAAGTAGAAGGGAGGTGGAGGAGGGAGGGCAGAGATTTAGTGCACATTCTTTCGGAATTCCTGCATTTGGCATTAAAACTAACTTGAAATTTTTAAGTTAATTAAACTACTCATTGGATAAACATAAGTTTCATGTGATTTATAAATATAATATATCATCTTAAAGGGTGGGTTTATCTGAGAGCTAGAAATTACCTAGATATTCACTATCATTCAGGTAAGCCTCCTTAAAACATTAATTTTTTTTCTATAAGCCATATTTTTGAAGCAATAAAGTAAAATGACAAACTTGGACAGAGGTCCTGAATCTCTGGATTGTTGCTGACTTTCACAAAATAAGCTAGACATTTTCACCTTATTACTATAGAGATATAAGACTATACCTTAGGAGGCCAAGCCGCTTTAATCCACTCTCCCCCCACCAAAAAAAATCAATGTATAATATGAATGAAATATATTTTAAATATTTTCAAAAAGGGCCAAGTTTTATAGTCTCAGAGGAGATCATTTTGTAGGATTTTTGAGTTTTCCAATAAATGCATTATGTATTGTGTAAAGTATATATGTGTATTTCAGAACCTAAATTTAAATCAAACTTCTTTGAGAGTTGCTAGGAGACCTACTGGCTAGAAATGTCTGACCCAGCTTTCTGCCTCCAAAAATTAAAAGCTAGGAAGAAAATTTTATGATGTCATGAGTATAATAAAACAAACTTTTTATCCTTTGATCTCACAAATCTGGATTTATTTCTTCTAAAAATTGTTCAATTTTCACAGAGTTTCAAACATGGTGTAAATTACATGAGTAATCATACAATTTTACAAAACTCTGGAACTAATAGTTCAATTTTGAAAACCTCTGAATTGAAAGTATACTGGTGTGTGTCAGAGGTATATCAATGTGTGTTCACTTTTTTTCTCTCCCAGAGTCACTTAGTCACTCAATTCAGTGTGAATGGATCTTAAATAATTTACTAAAAGACATTTAAGGTCTTCAGAAGCTATATCTACACATTAATACTTACCTCACACGATATGTGCCTTAATGCCCTATATATAGTTCAGTAACTATTTCTGGATTTGATTTTTATTAGAACTTTGTTCTGTTTAAGAATGGTAAATCTTTCATCCTTAGACATCTGTTACCACATATAGTGTGGCTTAGTCTATGTCTAAAGATATTGATGGTTCAATATTGCTTTGTAAAATTCAACCATTTAAAAAACATGTTTCTTTTTACTCACAGCACATAGCTCTATTTCTTGAATAGAAATACTTGATCCAAATAAATTATAATATTTTAAATTTTATTAATAAAAATAAACAGAACTAACAAGTTTAGTAGCTGCCTTGCATTCAGAAGAGAATCAAAGGTATTTTTGAACAAACATCTTGATAGTTACATAGTCTTGTTCAAAATCAAGACAGCTTGTATTTGTAAACGGATACCAAAATGTCTAGCAGTGTGCTAGTAAACAGGCTCTCCAGAAAGAAAAGAAAAAAAAAAAAACCTTCGATTTTAGCATTTGCCAATTTCTATGGTGTAAAACTACCACCATTGATATGTTTTGTTAAAGTTGTTTTGCCAAAGGAACATTTATATGCGAATCTCTAAACCCACACACGTATACACACCACTCTATACAAATGTACACACTTCCATTCTTCCTTTTACTACTTAAAGGGGCCTGAGAGGAACAGTTTGTGTCCTGGGGCATGATACAGGGCAGCCTCTTTAAAAGAAAAACACAGCTGAGAAGGGAGAATCCTCTCTGAGATAATTCTGATCCTCTTCTTCAGGACACACTGAAGTTGAAACATCCCTCTCTTTGGACTGAAGTGGAGAATCCAACAGTTTGAGTGTTTCTCCTAGAAGGCCATGGTGAAGTCCATAGAGCAAAAACATAAATACAAAGCTCTTCCAAAACATCATCTGTGGCAACCATCATCATCCCCATAAAACCGTGGCATCTAGGTTGAGTGGCCCGCAGACCAATCAATAGTCCAAGGTGGAGACAGAGTCCAGTCCTTTAACTTTTTCCACTTCTCCATATGAGGCCACTAGGATTATGATGCCTTCCTTAGCATTAATTCAATCTGGGAAAATTTTAATCTCCGTGCAATGTCCAGGGAACTCTCACCATGCTGAGGAGAAAAAAGAATTATAGTTCCCTCTCTCCAACAGGGTCAAACGCCAATGCAAAGGGTCCAGTAAACAGTTCTGACTGATTGACTCACAGGCTTGACAAGCGCATGACATGTCATTCAATTCTAACAGTAATAAGATAACTTAATTCTTCCAAGAGATGATTAATTTTGCCATTAACAACATCAGAGGCAATTAATTTACTTCAACACAAGGCTGAAGTTAGAAGATTATGCTGCCATAGGAACCTCAGACCATAGCCCACAGATTCTTATCTTATTTCTTACTCCCCCACACCACCCCATGGCTTATGCCGGCATTGGAGGGTTTAAGATAAAAATAAACTTGTATTATTTTTATCTCAGCTACTCCTTTGCCGGCAATTTCTGTTTGGGAGGCCCAAGTGGGCCTCTCTCCTCCAATCAGTGATATAGGAACACAGGCTTTTTCCTTATTATGGCTTCACTATCTTAAAAGTGATTCCCATTGTCATTCTGTGGGTAAGTCTCCATGCCAGGAACACACAGAGAGGAAACCTAACCATCTGGCTTTAGCTAGGGACGGAGGGGAGGCACCCCCCATCCCCGACCCTCCATCCCCCAGATAGAAGCGGGGGCACAAGCCTCATCTAAGCCCTCCCCTCGGTGCTGCACGCAGGTTCAGACAGCCGTCACAAACGCCACAGACGCCACAGACGCCACAGCCGCGTCTCCCCTTACCTTATTTCTTATCGTGGGGTCTGCATGGGCCTCAAGGAGCAGGGGGATGAGAGTCTGGTTTTTCATTTCGCAGGCGTAGTGTAGCGCAGTGCAGCCATACTGAAACGCAAAGGACGGACACTGCAGCTCATCAATGGGCTCCACAGATGGAGCCTGCGGCTTCTTTAACGAGCGCTGTTTGCATTTTGTAGTGTACAGCTAAACAAAGTCTACAAACCATCTGTGTGCAACTATATTTCTTGTACCAAAAAAAGTCTTTTATGACTCAGTGAGTATGTTATTAATGTCCTCTAAGCCACTGATACCTTCCTTTCTCATTTTCTGTTCCAAACTAAGAAAAAATGCTACTTCGAAAGCTGATGCTGAATTATCCCAAGGTCTCTTTGTAGAATTCTATATGCCTGGGCAATCACCGCCTTGATCGTGTTACCTGTCTTTCCTTAAAGGGTCTCCACGTGGACCTTTGGTTCTTGTTCAAAACCCCCACAGTCTGAAGTACGTGGCTGGTGTGCACATTGCTGCAGCACACCTCCAAGATCAGTGCCGTTTGACATAGAACTCTCCCATAATTGGATTGTTGTAGTTTATAATATATATTATAAAACAGTGGGTCTAATCTGTTGGTACTAATTTAAAACGCTACTACAGATCAAAAGAAATTTATAGCTGGGACATTTGTGCTCAAAATTTTGTCTTTCAAAAAGCTGCCAAACAACTATGGTTTGGGTAAGTGAAGAAATAATACCCTCGACTATCAAGACTAATAGAATTAATTCTGGATCTTTTTCCCCAGAAACTCTTCTAAAATCATAGGAAATAATGCTACAATCACTTATTTTTATTAAGTGATGGTATGATAAAGGGAAGATCTATCTGAATTTTTCCATGTGAAATAAAGACAGTCTAATCATCTAAAAATATAATACACAGCATTACATAGAGTTGGAAAATGGATCTTAATACACAGATAGTATTTGAAAAATGGTGAGAATAATGTGTCTGTGTGTACATATATGTGCACATATCTGAGCATACACAAGAATGACATTCTCTACCTAGAGATAGAGATAAACATAGATAACGAGAAAAATATTCTAAAGAACTTTCGTTCACAAGCAAAGTTTTAAACTTTTTGAATTACTTTTTACTTTTAATTTTTAATGACATCTTAATACATTTCGAAGCTATCTAAGAAAATAATAATTCACAGTAGTAGTCTATCCAAATTAATCCAAAAATCTTACTTGAAATAAGAGGGAAAACATACATTTCATAAACTTGTTCTCTTGTGTGAGCTCGCTCTCTCTCTCTCACACTCACACACACAAACACAGAGCTATTTAAACAAAGGATTTAAACAAAGGATACCAATACAACAAAAACTAAAATGATGTAAATAATTAATAGAAAATGGGAACATTTTCTCACAGAACATAGGATGGTAATACACATGCAGATCTATACAACATAAATTAGGGATCACAAACGGAATACTGGTTTTTTGCAAACAAATTTCGACTGGCCTACTTTTTTTAGTAAAACCTGGCAATCCAAAATTTCATTCAATTAATGTAAGCAAATAAAATTCCTTACAAGTAAACTTTTGAACCATTTATGATCATGTAAGGGAAGAAGACGAGTTCAAGGATGCAGTTGTAAAAGGAGGGAAAAAATGTATACTTATGAAGAGGAAGAAATTAGCTGATGCTTCTCCTGCTGTAATCACTGCTTTTAACATCATTTGGATTTCTCTTTGACCTTTGTCCTTATCTTTCTTTAGTTTATGGATGGGGACTCTCTTAGCAGTGAGTTGGGATCTTGGCTACAGCTAATGTCCACTGAGCACTTATTATGTGCCAGGAGCTCTGCTAAGTGCTTTATATCAGGAGTCTCCAAGCCCCGGGCCACGGACTGGTAGCAGTCTGTGGCCTCTTAGGAACGAGGCCGGATAGCAGGAGGTGAGCGGCAGGCTGGCCAGTGAAGCCTCATCTGTATTTGCAGCCGCTCCTCAGCGCTGGCGTCACTGCCTCAGCTCCACCTCAGATCATCAGGCATTAGATTCTCATAGGAACACCAGTCCCTGGTGCCAAAAAGGTTGGGGAATGCTGCTTTACATGAATCAGCTCTGTAAGTTGTCGATATCCTCATTTTACAGATTAGGAAACTGAAAGTTGAATAAGTTTATAACTTACCAAAACACCACATTGGTAAAAAGTAACAAGCCTTGGTTTATACTTCGGCATTCTGACTCTAGGTTCTTAACTAACAAGGATGAATTTTTTTTTTATCAGAGCCTCCATTTTCCTTAACTTCTCACCAATAGTAGAGCAGTTTTTTTTGAAAAATGTCTGATATTCAAAAAACTTTTATTCCCACAAGTTTAGTGGCAGTATATAAACAAGTTCGCCTGACTGGCAGTGAAATAAAAAAATGCAAAAGTGTCTAGGAAAAAAAAGCAAGTAACTATAGATGACAAGTATACTACCTACAAATACCATTTTGAAAGTTATTTCAAAATGACAAAATAAAAACTTACACAGTCTGTAGCATTAACTTCGACGCCAGCATCAAGTAGCATTCGGACAAGAGTCTCATTCTGCTTTGTCTTTGATACCTATTATGAATGACAAGTACAAGAGAGGTTTATTTATATTTTTCTATCTTATGTCTAGACTATTTTAACCAACAGGTTTCATTTTAATTCCAATACCCTTAAGTGTCCATGCACTTTTCTTAAAACTTCTCCCACATCCTCACCCCCTTACAGTGTTGATAAGGTAAAGCCAAGTTTCTTGGAGTGTGGTCCTGGAAGAGCAGCATCAGCACCTGGGAACTTAACAAATGCAAATTATGGGGCCCTACCCCAGACCTATCAAATTCTACTGAGGACAGGGTCCAGTGATCTGTCTCCCTTCCAGGCTCAAAACCCTTCAATGATGTCCCATTGCTCTGAGGGAAACTATTCAGCCTGGCCTGCAAGGTCCCATAATTTGGCCTCTACTTATGGCCCTACCTGGCTCACTCAACACCTCCTGGCTCACCTTGCTCTAGTTACACTGGCCTTTAGTTAGTTTTTCATTCTCACCAGGCTCCCTAGTGACATAAAATAGTTACACTGAATATTCCTTCTGCCTAGAAGCCTCCTCCCTCCTCCTTTCTTTACCTAGTAAACTAATATTTAATATCTCAGTCAAGGCCCCTCTTCTTCTAGAAGACTTTCCCTGATCTAGCTGGCCAGGTAAAACTCTCTCCTGGGCTCTCTGTACCACCTACTTCTTGGTAATTTTACATGTGTTTCTGTCATTATTTGATTAATGATTCCGTCTTCACAGCACTCTAACTCTCACGAAGACAAGGATTACACCTGTTGGATTCATCATTGTATGTCTAACACACCCAAGAAAGGGCCTGGCATTTAGTGGGTCCATAATGTTTTTGTTGAATGATTGAAAAAAAGAATGGAATTAAGTAGCTACCTCAGAAATCCACTTTTCCCGCCTAGTGCCCTGAAATTCTGATCACATGACAGGTTGAGCATCCCCCGAACACCCATCCCATCGCTTGTGGGAGTACAGCTCTCCATGGTCGGGTGGCATGTTCTAGAGTTCAGCCCCTTTATCACCTAGGAAGCTCCATCTAATTGTCTTTCCTCCTCATGCCTCCCTCCTATGTCACCTTCTAAACTGACTTTCTCCTCCTGCCCTTCTCTGAAGTAACACAGTCCTTTTTGGTCCCTTTTAATTTTTTCTCATGTCACTTATCTCTTACGTACCACAAATTAAGCATTTCGGGCCCCATTAATAAATAGGGTACTTGTGCAATCAGATTTGGGCTATTCATTACAATGAGTAATTTTACCCAGGCCTTCAGCTTTTAACATTGGACTATCTTATAAAGCAGGGCTGTATGTCAACAAATTCTAAATGAGCCTTACTAATCGTAATTGTGATGTTTTCTTCATAATTTCTAAAAAGGTTTGTAATGAATGACAGATTCTTCTAACCCCAAAACTACATATATTCAAATCCTGTGTGTTAAATACATGATTAATTTTTCAAGAACTTTTTAAGGTTATATGTTTATCAGCGAATTACAGTTTTTTCTCTCCCATAAATCAAAGCATCAAAATCAATGTTATCATATTTAATTGTAGTTCCTCAAATCCTGTAACATTTAAATACCAAAGGAGGTAATAACATTTCCAACTGGCAGACTTTGTTCTGGAGCTTATGTTAACAGGAATAACTAACATCCATGGTCTATTAGCCACAAAGAGAAAGAAGATCTGTCATTTAACTGGAGTAAATAACACATTTGTTGAGTGATCTCTCAGAGGTGGAACTGGCCGCAAGCAAAAGCAGATGGAAAACAGTGAGTCAGTGCAAATCTGTCACTCTATTTGAAAAACAAAAAAAGCCAAACACTCAAGTTTTATTTTCTACTCATAATATGACTGCATTCCTACACAGGAATAATTTTCTTTATTCAAGAAAATTACTGCATGCCAAGAATTCATTCAAGCATGAATAAATTTATCAAAGTGAAAGGTAGGCTTCAAATTCCATATAAAGATCTGTGTTTATCATTTGCTGTCTGCTAATCTCTTGAGATCTGTTTTCTAATTCACAACCAGGGTGGTTCCTTAACAATCAGAAACTCAGAAAAATATGTACAAAAACATAAACTCCTCTTACAAAAAAGAGAGAAATGAAATAGCAGGAGGGAGAATTTATTTTTTAATATTTAGGATGTTTGTGCTTACTTAAGATGATTCTTAAACCAGATTAATTTATTTTTCTAAATAATGATTCCATAGATTATTTTACCATTGATTAATTTATTTGGCTACCTTTCATTCTTGCTTTATCTTAATCTTAACATCTCATGTATGTTAGAAATGTCATTTATAGAATACAAACCAAGAGCTTGTTTTGTTACTATTTATTTACGTCTCACTGGCCCAGCAAAACTTGAAGAGTCATGCTACTGATCTTCTCCTACTCGCTGATCCTTTGCTCTCACAAATGTACTCACCATAAGGAAATACCCAATAAGCAGGACAGGCATCAACAGGATAATGAGTAGATAATCAAAGAAGGTAAATTTTTTCTTCACAGCATAATGCAAGCAGGTTCTCCCTTTCTAAAAATTAAGAAAAGGACGCTATTAATAAAATATTTCATATCAGATTTCATGTTTTCACAGATTACCTTAGCAAAAAAATTCGTTTTATGGTACCTATGCCACATTTTTCTGTCGAGTATGTCTGACTAATAAACCCAGGTTTCCAATGATTAAAATATTGAACACAGTATAGTCTAAAGAAAAAGCTGGGGGGAGGACCACAGAAAGACAAGGGGGTGAAATATACATTTTACAAATCATCAAAAGATAGATTCTCACATTGTGATATAAACTAAAACTAAATTCAGAATGGAAATCTATAGTTATCCCTTAATCACTAATGGTATACAATTATTCATTTTGTACTTCATTCATAGGAAAATCTTAACCATAGAGCAATTTTTCCATGTTTCTACATGCATACAGCAGTGCTAGAAGAATGGAAATAACTCAATTTAATTCTTCAAATATGTGAATATTTATCAGATGATATACTTAAGTTTCTAGGGATTGTGGGGCATGCTAAGTCTCAGAGCCTCATAATAAACCCAGGGAGACAGAAATATGCACAAATAAGTATAATGCAAAACAGGCTGTCGCAACTAGAATACCCACCAAATCAATGACAAGAAAGGGAAAGCCAGAGAGGAAAGAAAGGTTAACTTCCACTCGGGAAAGCACTGTTCTTAAATAAGACTTTTTGTTTTTCTAATATTAAGGTAGATATGTTCTCTATAAAAGGTTTATAAACTAGACAAGAAGATAATGATAGAATAAATTTAAAATCACCCATTATCAAACAGCCCAGAGTTAATTGTTGACATTTTGCTATGTTTTCTTACAGTCTTTTTTAATGCATATATGTGGAATTTTTAAGTATAGGTGCATACTGCACATGCAAAATCATATCTGCTTTTTAAAAATTAACATTTAGAATATGTACATCTTTCCATGCAATTTAATATTTTTGAATACATGACTCTAATAGCTATATGGCTTTCTATTGAATGGAACTATTCTAATTTATTTAGCTAAACCCTACATGGCAGACATTTGAATTTTTAACTTTTCACTTTTATAAATACTGCTTGAACATCCTCATTCATAAAATTTTGTCAATATTTCTAAATTCGTCTTTAGCATAAGTTTCTAAAAATATAATTCCTGGCATACAAGGTATTAATGCTTTTCATATCGTGCTGCTAAACTGTGTTCCAAAAAAATGATAATGACTTAAACTCCCTTCCTAGTCAACACTCGATTTTCTCTTTTAATCCTGGGCAATTTGACAGACCAAAATATAACCATCTATCTATCGCTATCTCTATGTTTTCATTTGCTTTCAACATAATTGATGTTCTCTATTAAGTATGTACATCTCGATCATCAGCAGAGCTTTTTGTTTGTTTTTAAGGCCTTTTGTTTGTTTACTACTTCTGAAAATAATTCATAAACATAGACTTAAGAAATGAGAAAGCACTGGTTCAATTTATAAATGTACAAAGAGAGGCACAGAGAATGTTAGTAAAGATGCTGACATAGAATCTTCAGGTCAAAGAAGAGCAGAACACGTGATTGTTGTGGACATCCTTTCAGAACCCCTTTGGCACTTCCAGTGTCGGCATCACAGTAAAGGCAAACTTTAAAGTACACTGAGTAAATATAAAAAGTCACTATTTGTAATAATTATGAATGCCCTATATCCACTCATGTACATTCGATGAGGAACAATAGCCTGTAGTGCCCCACTTGACTCCTCTAAATCAAATTAAAGACCATTTGGAGTAATAAGTTAACCAGAGAAACGGAGCCTCTTGTATTATAAAAATAGTGGAAAGGACTTCAGTGGATACTTGAGATTAATAGAGATATTATTAGACTAAGTGTTTAGTTTACATTTTTTATTTTAAAAATATTTTAATGTTGTTAAATGTTTAATCTTTTTTGTTTTTCCCAAATAGCCTCTGGTTCGTGAGCTTATCTGTCCTGGGCAAATTTCTCCCTGGAATTCTTTTATTCTATAATAAACTACAGGCTCTTTTGAAGATCTGAACACTTAAATAGTAGGTAAAAATCTAACTAATGAAATAACACCACCAGGTCAATATCTTTTTTTCTGGGAAATCTTTCTCATTACTTCTGTAATAGTGAGGAGGAGGCGCTGGGAAAGAAGAGCGGGAAGGCAAGGAAAAGCATGAGGGAGAGAAAAAAAGAAGAAAAGAAGTGCTATCCAGTCAAACGAGTGCACCATTCTCTTCCTTGTCAGAAGTACAAGGACATAATTAACCACAAAATATGCCTGCTGATTAAACTATGCTTTAGTCTGCTCTCTGCCTAATAAAATATCTTCAGTATGGGTCAGTCTCACTAAAACAAGGTCAAAGAAATTATTGGTATTAGGAGCTACAAGCAACGAGAAAATGACATTCACTGTTTCCATTATCACAGTCGATTACTTTCTCCACTCATATGTCACAGCCTCACCTTGTTTTTGAGATTCACAGCAGCATTTCTTCTTAAAAGGAAGGAAATGATTCTCAGGTGCCCTCGCCTGCAAGCACAGATCAGGGGAGTGTCTCCGTTAAAGCCATCTTGAACGTTGATACAGTTGCTGTCTTCCTTCACCCACCGCCACACTTGACCTAAGTCATTCTGGTAAGCTGCCTGGCAGATGGGCTGAGACGAGAATAACAAAAGCAGAGTTTGAAATACAGGTACGATTAAACCACGATAAAAAGAAAAAAATCATTACCCGATAACTTAAAATTCAAGTGTTTCCCCATGATAGTAGGTAGAACGTTGATACAGTTGCTGTCTTCCTTCACCCACCGCCACACTTGACCTAAGTCATTCTGGTAAGCTGCCTGGCAGATGGGCTGAGACGAGAATAACAAAAGCAGAGTTTGAAATACAGGTACGATTAAACCACGATAAAAAGAAAAAAATCATTACCCGATAACTTAAAATTCAAGTGTTTCCCCGTGGTAGTAGGTTGCTTTATAGATGAGATTTTTGGTCTCAATTATGCCTTAATTTTCCCATTTAAAAAAATAAATTACAGCTCTCTCAGGAATGCTACGTTTTCTAGGATTTGATGTTTAAAGCGATGAAACTACAAAAACAGAATGCTAGAGATAGAATGATGTCATTTGTTTCCAAAGACTATCGATATACTAGAGCGATGAGAAAATAATAGTAAAAACAAGATATTTCGTGGCAAACTTTGGGGGTAAGTTTAGGATTGTAGTCCGTGAATCATCTCGAAGCAAACAGGAAAAGGGTTAAGTCTAAAACAAGCGTAAATCCATGAGGAAACTCTTAAGATTTCCTACATTGCTTGGCACACAGAAATGTTTATCAAATGGACAAATGAGTGAATAGGTGGATGTGATATTGCGATTCGACTCAGGAAATTGTGCGTTGTGTTCAGGGACAGATGATGCCTATAGAACAGGAGGATTTTACTGAACATAACATAGGCATATCAGAAGAGATTAGGGCAGCACTAGGTGATAGGACAAAGACACATGGTTCCCCATACTCGGGAAACTCAACAAAGTGGGAAAAGATCTCATTTAGATTAAAAATATACAAATAGCAAATGATGTAATTAACTGTAATTAGATGCTCTTTATTTTGGAAAACATTAAGGACCTTTGCAAAGCATAATGCAAGTTTAACAGCAAGACCTAAGCAGACCTCGTCTTGCTCACCTTTCTCCCTCTGCTCTCCTTCTGGACTTCTCTCCTTTTCTTAATACCCCATGTTAAATTAATCCATCTGGATCTCTGCCCTTACTGCTCTTTCTGCATAAAACACTTTGTCTCCTCTCTCTTAACCTGGCTAACTGCTAATTTATCCTTCACGTCATAACTTAATTTTTATTTTTTCTAAATTTTTCCCGACTCCAGTACTCCTTCACAGCAACTGGCATAACTGTAACTATTTTCTTTACTATTTATAATCGTGTGTTGCAGCCCAGCACGAGTCAGGAGGGATTGAAGCAGCAGTGAGTGAGGGAAGGCATTGAAGTTCAAGCTATAAACTCCATGTGGATAGATGCTTTATCATTCAATTCACTACCACATCCCCAGCATATAACACAGCACTAGGCACATGATGGGCAAACACTAAACACTTTAGACTGATTTTAATTAGATAGCATTTAAAAAGACACTTAGAATAATACCTGCATATGGATGGCACTCCAATGATGGAAGTTATTATTCTGGCTTATTAAGTCATTCTTTAATTTGATAACAAAGTCAAACCTCTAGTGTGTGCCTGCCATAATTGCTAGGGGGAAAAAATATAAACGATATTACTTTTAATCATGTAAAATTTATTTACTGGTTGGATATATAGTGTATACACACACAAACAGACTAACCAATAACAATTTTAAAGAAGTATAGACGAGTACATAAGCATCTGCAGCAGCTGGGACAGACGCAGAGAAAGTCAAGTGGTGTATTTGCTAATCGACTCATGTTCTAACATAATCAAATATCATAATTAGTGAACTTTTAAAAGTAAGATACTTTCAAACCGAAAGACCTTCTCAGGAGAGAAACAACGTAAAGGAAAGTCAACTCAATAGCAAATAAGAGGCAAACTTCTGTACCCCAAAATGAAATGAGCGTGGTACAGGGGTTCCAACTTGCAGTAAAAATGCACAATTACACAAATCACCCTTTCTATTATTGCCCTAAAGTATTCCTTTTTTTTTACCAGGCCTTATCATCAGCAGTGTCTCAGGGGACCATCTGGATGGCATGGAAATGACCAGGGCAGTTGAAAGAACATGTATCTGGTGTCAGAAAATGGTTGTAGTTGTGGTTCTGCTACTAACTCCCAGGTGACTAAGGACAATTTTCTTGCCCTCAGTGTGTCTCAGTGTCCTCAGTCATGAATAAAGGAGTGAAGCAGAAGTTCCTTTGGGTTCTCACACTCATATGGCTGTCACACTTCTGGACCTCGAGTCTCTCCCCAACCAACACATCTTCCACATCAATGGCTAGGGTTAAAGGTTAGGGTTAGAGCTATTTTAGCACAAAATCGCCCTTGTCTTAGCAGTGATGCCCAGACATTTAGATTTAAATAATAAGTACAGTAAAACTAAACTAAATACAAGACGATGTAAAGTCACCAACTCTTCATTTTGTCGATTAAACACATTAGATGCATGGTTTAATTTATTAGATGCATTATTAGATTTATTATTTCATAAATTAAAAGATATTTTAATATAAATAAAAGTTTAAAACAAGAATATTTTAACAAAATATATAAAGATGTAATCAACATGAAGAAAAAACAGTCCTTTACATGTGGAAAAACTTAAGTCATTGTTCTTTTTAAAAAAATTCACTATAAACGAGCAAAAATTTGCCATTGATCACTAGTAATCATGACTACCATTTGGAAATTGATAGTCTACTATGCAGAACTTTAAAACAGATGGCTATAAAGTTCATTTTTCTTTTCTTAAAATTTTAAATTACAACATTTAAAAAACTGGAATATTTCCTGTAGTAATTGGCTTACTAGCTTCTCTTTAAAAATTGAAAGATTTGACAACACTAGGTCCACATTCCCACAGCCCCCTCTGCTCCTCAAATACTTCACCAAAACTTAACTAAAACAAGAAAAGGAAAATGTGGATAGTTTTCCTGCAAAAATCAATTGATGTCTTTGAGTGTTTTCTCAATCCCACTTGGGCAATGTTACTTAAAATATGAACCTGATTTTACCTTTAAATATTTCCTAGGCTTCTTGTATCCTAGACACAGTTTCTGTTTTTGAAAAGTAAAGTGTATGCCTGGCTCAGTTAGACATAGATTTGTTGCATGAATTGTAAAAATCTCTAAAAAGATTCTATGTCGTTATAAACTCTGTCTCCACTAGGGGGCAGCTAGGAGTCATAAAAGCACTGACAAGAGAAAGAAGGGAAGCCCAATGGAAAAGTGTTGATTTACAATCTACCAATGAGGAAGAGGAGGGGGCTATCCATTAGTGTTGAGACAAGAGTTATTATGAATTCTGTTAGCCTCTGAAGTTTCTAGAATTTGGAAGAACTCTGGGTGTAGAGGAAACCAGTGGAGAACTTGGGAAACTACCATAATAACTATGTCTCCTAATAGTCTCAGAACTCTTCCGTACAAACTTACCGCCAAAGTACTAGTTCAGATCTTCATTATTCTTACCAGGACTATCACATTTATAGCCATTAATTGGCCCAATTTTTTCCTGTCTCACCCATTCGGCTCCAACCCATCCTACAAAAACAGCAGCTGAACATCACTTGCTAGTTGAAAATCTTCAGTGGTGACCAATCAGATTAGGTTACTGTCCCTAAACTGACACGTATGTTTCTTCGAATCTCACAAATCCTGTCTTTCCAACTTCATCTCCTACCACTCCCTTATCTGTACCCTTGAGCTAAGTAAATAAAGATGTGAGTGTTATTAACAGCTATCTCCCCACCCAGACTGTAGGCTGCATGAGAGCAGTTATTGTGTCTGTACCTATATGACATTGTATTCCCAATATCCACCATATGTCTGACACAAAGTGAACATTCAATATATATTTGGTGAGTAAGTAAATGTATAAACTATAATTTAACCTTTTATTGAGTACCTCATTACTTCATTAAACCCTCACAACAATCCTATAGGCTAAGTATTATTATATACCCATTATTTACAGGTGAAAATGAGGGAGTTTGTCTTCTTTGCCAAAGTCACACAGCTTATAACTGGCAGTGCCAGCAAGAAAATCAAGGGGAATACTGCAGAAGGTATACATTCTGGCTCTAATTACTTCAGGCAATTTGAAAAAGTCTTCAAAATGTCTTCAGGCTATAAGACTGTGTTTGAGATTTTTTTGGTTGCATTTGCACCCAAAGTTAAGCTACAGCCTACAGTCTCAGGAGATCGCTCATTCTTCTACCCTGGCCTGCTGATGACCAAGCTTTCTTTGTTATATATCCAGATTCTTTCTCCAAACTGACCTAGAATTAGCAATATCTGCCAAGAGGTAAAGAATTGGTGGTCAGAGAAGTTATGAGTCAGGAGAAATGAGAAAAATATAAAGGCCAAATGCAAACATTTCAAGAAAGAAGACAGAGTGAAGAGAATGAAGTATAAGGAAAGAGAGCTGGATTTGATCATTAATGACCATCCAGAGATCCATTTTCAGAGTCATGGGGCAGAAGGCAGAACACAGGGGCCTGAGTATATGGTCTATGAAGAATTAGAGGATGTGATTGGAGAGGAGTTTGTGGCAGTGTGGCCGTGAAAGCTAAGAAGGAGCTAGCCAAGTCCATGAAGGGGAGTACAGAGTCTGGCCAGCGTTCTGCACATCTATAGGCAAAGTGGTGGTGTCAAGCGGTTATAATAAGTACAGGCTCTGAAAGCAAACTTTCTGAGTTCCAATCTCGATTCCACTATGTAATAGTTGTGTTATTTGGACAACTTATTTAAACTCTCTGGCCTCAATTTCCTTCTCTATTTAATAATCACATCTTCTTTATCAGGTTACAGAAAGTATTAGAGGTGCCTGATGGATGAAGCACTTCATTCAGACCTGACTCATAATAAACCCTTAATTAATGTTAGCTACACTTATAATTATTAAAACATAAGAAGCCAGTGAAGATGGGGAGGGATGTT